TGTTGCTTTATCTTCAAGGTAGGTTTGTTTGCTTCTTCAATAATTTTTAGCAAATTAAAATGCCTGCTAAAGTAAAATGTATAGCACTTTTGGAATGGAGGGAAGCTGTATTTTTTTAAAGCATAAGCAGCATGCCTTAGGTGCACTCAGGTAAGAGCCTACCTGAGGCCAAACTGCAGAAGTTTACATTACAAATTGAAATCAGTAATTCAGGAGCTGTTCACATGCAATTAGTTTTAAAAATGACAACATATTTTACAGTATGGTGTAATTTTTAAGAACTTTCTTTCCCCTGTTAAATATACCAAATATGTACATGTGATAGTAATCTACATTTGAGCTGATAAATTAAAAGGAAGTGTAATGATCCAATCTTATCACTGGCACCAAAAGTATCCTAGCCAGAGATGAGAGAAGAAATGCACGGGGTGGTGATGGCCACTGGATCCCCGAGTGTGAACAGACTTCAGGAAGTGTCTGTCACAACTCATCTATTTTGATGTCCATTATGAAACCCTCCTGGGGTTAAATAATGCACAGATACAAGACAGTTTCACCTCCACTGGAAGGGTTTTAAAAATGAAATTAGACATGTTTTTGAGGCAAAATATTTTTGCAGTTAACTCCCCAGGTCTGCACATATTCCTACAGAATCTGTGGCCAAAGGAACCTCCTCTAAACCATTTCCCATCACCTCCTCTGAGCTGTCAGCTTCAATTGGGCTTTTCTTGCAGCACTACTTGTCCTGTACTGAGAGGATAGCAAACAAACAACTTAACTCATCCTTCTATGTTTATAACTGCAATCTAAAAACCTGTATTTAGTATTTTATCTACTTGCTTAAAAATCAGAACTGTTTCAACGTATTTTTTTCACTACTGCACATTTCAGACTGCTGAACCTTACTAATTTCCAGCATTTGTTTAATACATAAAATTATTTGGGTTATAATTTGGTTTTAAGCATTTATTTTATTTTTAAATAACCTTGCAGCTGGCATTAAAACAAATTGAATTCTTCTGAATGGAATTTTCCAACAACCTGTGAGAGCATTTTTAGGAAAAAAACTGTGTTCCAAATCAAATTAATGAAAAACCTGGAAAAGCATCTTGCTAGTTTGACCCAACTAGGAGCTGTATTTGATTAAAACCTGTCCTAAAGAATGGCTCCCTCTAGTGCAAATTGCCAGGAATCTGAGGTTTTTTTCAACCAGTTTTCTTAAATTGCACATTTTCACCTACCAGACCTCTTGTTTGAAATTTCAGTCCTTAACAATCTTGCACTGAATAAAACACCTGTGGTCAGCTTCAGTGTTTAATGTAATAAATACAGATTATGTTCAATTACACAATTTCTACCTCTCAGAAGGGATTTGATATCTAGAGTTCAGTTCCAGCAAGAAAGCACGTTATTTTAATAGAAATATAAGTACACAAAACTGCACCAGCTAATAACTGTTAACAGGCCACAGATATGGTGCTTTTGGTGCTCTTTTAATGACAGAATCTCTGCTCCCAGTGGGGTTTTGATCCTGTTCCAGCACTGGGAGCTCAGCATATTGGAGAACCCGTGCCAGTACAGCTGTCAAGAACTCAAGTTTGACTTTGCTAGAGATTTGAGCATAGCAATTGGATTTTACATGCAACAAACTTCAACAGGAACCACTTCTGTCCTTGCAGAGAGAGAGGAAGGCTTCATTCAGACATTTGTTCTAGACCACTACAGCAAGGATGAACACAAAACTCCTTTTCTCAAAGTATTAACAATGTCAAAAATCTATCTCTTCCACTTTCAAAAGGCTTTACCCTTCTCCTACTTACATTAGCTGCTAATTTGACTGGGATTTTTGTTTAACATTCTTACCCTCCACATTACCTGTGCTCCCCCAAGAGAGAAAGCTTTCAGAATGAGATTTTCTAGTCAGTCTATGCTTTTTGCTCTGTCGCTATAGAAATTATACCTTGTAACACATAATAAAGGGAAATATGTCTTCTCTCAGAAGTTTAATGTCATTAACACAAATTCATCACAGAATAGTAAGGAATAACAAAGGAAATCTTATTTGTAATAAAATAGAAGTATAATTTAGGGGGAAAAAAATGCTCAGAAGTGCCAATCCCGGCTGGGGAACTACAATGCACCATCCCCAAGTTCTTTGCAGTAGGGGTAATGTTTGAAACATCCATCTCTAAGTAGTACTGTTAGACACAGGGATTTATTTTAGATTTCCAGTAACAGATCTGTCAGACTCTGCAAGATCTCCCTCTCCAGATTATCTTCAAACATATCTGAGTGAAAGGGCAAACAGAAATTTGAAAGAGATGATTGATTCCTTTGTGGGGGATAGAGTTACCCACTGAGACAGGAACATATATGAATTCTGATTTGCAATCATTTCCACTATTTATGAGGTCACAGGACATGCTCCTGCTGAGCTCAATTTAGCAAGAGCTTTAGCAAGATCAATGCAGAGGGTATTACAATCACATTGACTTGGTGATGTCCAAACTACAACAAATTCATAACTCAAAACTATAAATAGACTGAAAAATAAAACTATTTCAGTACACAGCCAGATTAAATAGCTAAGATGCAAATAGAAATTAAATAATGGCCTTAAAGGCATCATTAATTATGAGTTTAAAAAAAAGGGGATGCAGTTCATGCACTTAGGCAGGCATGCTGAAGACAACAAGAACTTCAGGTGGTCGTGAATGCCTCACTTTAAAACAAAAATTCCACCAAACTGCAACAAAAAAACCCCCACCTCTCCTTTCTGTCACAGAAAGAGACATTTCAACCATAACCACTCATTTCTCTGCTCTGAGGACTATCCCACTGAATGACTTGCACGGGATTTGAATTTCAGTCTCCTTTCTTCCTATAAGAATTGTCTAATGATCCCTGCAATCAGGAGAAAGTTGATGACTATAAATATAGAATGTTCTGTAAGATTGTTTCTCTTTTGATTATGCATATCTAAACAAGCTGAAGCAAATATACACCTATATTTCATCTCCTTCCTATTAATTCATCTTTTTTTATTAGCCTTGAACTGATGTTTTATGTAAATTAATAAATTATATGTTCTTCTTTCACCTTTACAGGGATTTAAAATTTGCTATTTCCTAACTTTAACAATATAGTATTTGGATTGAAAGATCTTTAATATGTTGTACATGCCTCTATTTTCTTGTATGGGAAGCTTCCTTAGCTCTTCATGTCCCAGACTTTGGCAGGAATCTGTCCATAGAAAAAGCAACAGCAGTGGAAATGGAATCAAAATATTTCACTTAGTTATGTTGGGTTATTCTTTTCTTAAGTGTAGTCTTTGATTTCACTACACTTAGGTATATTTTATTGGTGTTTACAACGTGCATTTTAACAGAACTGTGAAGGGCACTGCAGACAAAGTTGAGAAGAAAATGCTTTTCTTCCTGGAAAACCAGCCTATAGGAAAAAACCCATTCCAGCAATTTAGTTTAGCCCTACATATAAAATAAGGGAAGCCAAGGTGCCTGCGCTGTTATTATTTTTTTCTGATGGTTTTGACACCAATGTGCTGAGCTTTATGGCATTCACCATTTCAGCAGTGGGGAGTTCCTACTAGGTATAGTCACAATACTCCTTAATATTTTCATTTTGATGTAATTTGCGGCCCCGGCTTTTTAAATATCCGCTCTGTAATAATGTTTAATTTCAGGGGTCACTCCGCCAAGGAGTATATTAAAGCCCATAAAACTCATTTCCAAAGCTCAAATATCAAACTGTGATCAGGTTAGGAGGGCAGCATCTGTGAATATTTCATCTTTTATCATGCTGATAATAAGGAGATGACAGAGGCACATTATTACAATGAGAGAATTGCTCATTTCAGCCCTGGCTGCTGGAAGATGGGGTCTGCAGTGTGCATTACTCAATAAAATCAATTCTTATATGAAAAGCAAGTTTACTGAGCCACCACTGTGTCTTATTTGATTGTAATGAATAATATATGGACCCAAGAGCTTGCTCATCTGGTAGGGAGAGGGAAAGGAAAAGGCTTGAGTTTGAAGGGGCATTTCAGTGTAGACAATAATTTATCAAAATTGTATTTTATTGTTCAGAAGCAATGTTATGGGACTGAAGTCTGTTAGACTTATAATTTTGAAAATAAATCTTAAATTTCCACTAACACTATGAAGGATATTAGCCAACAGTGAACAGTGTAAAACAATTTCCATCTTGCATTTGGTTATCTATGCTCAGCAGATAATGACCAACTAGCATGACAGTTTAAGGTTTACACAATTTCTGCTGCAATTTCTGTACTTTCACCTTTTTGTTTTTGTTTTTGGTTTTGTTTTGTTTTGTTTTGTTTTTGGGCTACATTTCACACCATTCTCTACCTAAAGAAGAAAAATTTGGGGAAAGAATAGTCTATCTTATCATTAATAAGATGGTAAACACACCTCTATGAAAAAGTAGCATCATACCTATTCTGAGAGGGATATAGGAAAAAAGGCTGACATTTACTTATCTCTTGTACGATATTCTACTACTATTTTTCCTTAAACATATTTATACCATTTGAAAACAGCTTACTGAGAACAGAAATATGGATAATTTCACAGACCAACACATATATTGTGTCCAAATTTTGAACTGCAGCTTCAAGTCAATGCTTTATAGGAAAATGAGTCTCAATATAACCACTTATTTATTATTAGCAACAGTATTAAACAGGGCCATTTCTTTTCAGAATTCTGAGAACAAATAGCCATCATTACAAAAATATGACTTTAAATTGTCATTATCACCATGCTGTGATAATGGCCTATCATTTTGGCACTTGTAATCCAAGTTGTGCTTCCTCCAATCCTTTGCTGTAAAACATATTTAACTCATTTACATATAAGTATTTATTGTGCCTGCCCTAATTTCTTTCCCTTTTGCTTACACACTACCAAGTTCAGTAGAGTTTAATGGAGGAGTTTGTTCAATTTTTAAATTTTTTTTTATTCTAAGTTTTTAAAACTCCCTCCCCCTATTTTATTTTAGGGGTGCAGTTGAGGCAAACTGAAACAACATTCCCAAGTTCTCAGAAAGAGAATTAAGAAAATAATTGAATATGAGCATCAGGAATATCAGGAAGATTACCAAAGTTTACACAGAGACACTCCAATTCAATAAATGCACAGTAATGCTTGTAGAAACACAAAAACACAGAAGAAACTCACTTGGGTTGCAAGGAACTCCGGGAGATTATCTATTCACAACTTCTGCTCTGTGCTGAGTTAACTTTAAAGTTAAATCACATTGATCAAGCATTTTCCAGCATGATTTTGACATGTCACATGTTCTCTGGGCATTCTGAGTGCTTGTCACTAACTCTGCCAAAATATCTTCCTTAGGTAAAATCAGTTTTTCTTTGTTGCAACTTCTGACCCTTGATCTTTTCCTATCAAGGATTCTCTGAGAAGAGCTGGGCAGAGATGTTTTAAATTCTTCCTGCAGACTCTCCTGTGTCATGTAATTTCAAAATAGAATGAACTAAACTCTGTAGCACCTATTGTCATCTCCCTATTACAAAGCAATTCCAACACAGACAATTTCTTCTAAGGTTTCCATAAGTTTGTTTTAATCATATTTGCTTATTAAACTGACATTGTGTGCAGTTGGTTCAGCTACAATGGAACCTCATGCAAATCCACTCTGCATTGGTTGCAGAGTGGTTGAGCCATGTGTGTACTGCCAATAAAACTCATTATTTTGGTCTCCTAGTTGTTGAGGACTTCTTAAACTTCCACACAGTGGTAAATTTTTCCTAACAGATGATGTTGAGGTGAACAGGGAAAAAAACCTGCATCATAATTCTTGTGGTTTACCTGAAAATGTATTTAGTATCCTAGATTTAAAATACAGGAAATTATTCAAACATACAATAAAAATATAGTAGATACACAGATTTCACTGAAAACTGTCAGCAGAAAAATAAGAAACATTTCCCTATGAAAAAAAAAAAAAAAGTGATTTAAAAAAATCAAAAAACTTCATTCATATAGAAGAAAAAATAATTTTTAAAAGAGACACTTGACTTCTGTAGTATAAAATGAAACTATTTTCATAACCAGCAGATGCTTAGAGGATAAAGGAAAATCTGCTCCAGATAAAAGAAAATTATTAGAAGGAATTAGAATTAGAATTAGAATTAGAATTAGAATTAGAATTAGAATTAGAATTAGAAAACACTTTTAGGCATTAGGAATTAGAATTAGAAAGCACTTTTTCTTACAAGTGAGAAATCCATGCTGGCATACTCATTTTTTTTAAGAGAAACCATAGAGAGAACTACATGTCAAACATATCAGAAGGGGTTAAAAAAGGCCTGAAACATTTTCACATAAAACAACAGCCACTAATATGAACTTCTGTGACATCACTTTTCTATTGATAGCACTAACATATGAAGATGAAAGACTAAAACTTCTCCATGATATACAATTAAGGGAGAAAATCATCTTTTTTCTGAGTTAAACCAACAGAGAGTAGGATCAAAACATGGTGCCCCCAAGATGATCAGACTTTTTAATTTCAATATTGAAACAGAAACATTGTTCAGAGAGACCTGTGTGTGAATTAATTGTCTTGAAAATAAACACCAAGGTGCAACTTTAAAAATAAATAAATAACCACAAACATCCTGCACCAGCACCAGCCCCTAAGAAGCGGGTTTAAGAGTTGATAGGCTGGGATTTGTTATTTGTTGTAAAGGATCACAATATCTCAGAGAGGTTCTCTCTCTACCTTAAATAAAACTCTTTAAAAATACATCATTTGATGTTAGAATTTTGCATACATAGCCTTCAATCAGTTTATTAAGAAGGTCATTTCATAGCAGTTAAATCTCAACAATAAAGAGCTGTCCAATAGCAGGGAGAGTAATTTTTATGAAATCATATGTTGCAACAGCAATGTCTTCTTCTTATACTCAAGACTTCCTTCAAAGTGCAGGTCCTCTAAGCAAGGCATGAAAATAATTCACAGAATTACAGAATCAGTCAGTTGGAAGGGAGCACAGTGGGAAATCTGGTCCAACCTCCCTGTTCAAGCAGGCTCATCCAAGAGAATACAATTCCTAAACCTTGCCAGAAGAGCATCCTGCCATCCAAGGTGTGCTAATGGCACTCACCTAGTTATTATTCCATTAGTAACACCATTACAACCACTGAATACCAGAAATTTACTCCAAAAAGCAAATATCACTTGCAAGTGGCCTGTTACAGCTGAATAAGTGCATTTCTTCACTTAAATTAATAAAGCACATCTTCTAGAATTACTTTATTCTGATGATGAATGAAAGGAGTGAACCATTAACAAACCCGTTAAAAGTTACTGACTACACTAATATCTTCTGTAAATGGAAATAGAACTTTTAAATTAAGTATTTAAGGTTATATACTCTCTGGTAAGTGCTACTTTGAGCATTTATAGTGACTCTTTCTGTACTGTAATAAAAGGTAAAAATAAGAATATAATTCCAAATGGCTAATTATGCTATTTTGTAGGTCAAGTTTTTGAAATTGAATCAATGTGAAGCTACCTTTTTATTATTTTTTATATTTTTTCATTTGGATCCTAAATGGGGGTCACTATTTTAGTGGGGGTTACACTGTTTTAAGGAGAATTCAAAGAACAGGAGCAAAATGGTAAGAAATTTGCTCTTTGGTGAGCCTGCTTGTGCAGGGAGGATGAATTATCACCTCTACAGGCATTAGATAGTACAATGCAGAGAAAAGAGACATAGATTAGAGTTAGAGAGAGAGAGTTTTTACCTCTGAGACAAAAATCTTCTAGGCAAGAAGAATTCATTCTGCACACATTACAGACATGTCGTTTCTAAAAGGGCGGGGAGAGGTAAAGGATGAAAAAAGAAACCCAAACCCAAAATCAAAAACCAAGGAAAAAAACCCAAACAAAACCCAGAACACCACGTGGTGTTTATTTTATTTATACTCATCTAGGATGCTTTATTTGCATTTTTCCTAATCCATGCACGCTGCTGTAGAATAGCTAGGTGTTATTATTCATTAAAATTTTCTACTGCACTGTGATAAATGGCACCCCCAGAGCTGCTCAGAGGATGCTTATTACAGTCATTTAAGTAAGAGGTGATTAACCTTAAATATGTTGTTTCATAGAGCTGTACCCCATGCTTATGTGGAATAACTAAATTTTAACTGAATGATGACTGTTCCAAGCATGTATCACAGTGCATCCTATTTGGTTTATCTTGCAAAATAAGACTATACTAATTCTACATGCTGTACAGCTAGAATCTTTCTACTCTGTTTCCAGATTTGACCCTTTTTTTAGTGTCAAGTTTAACAAAGGGTCTTGTTTAAAAGGCAACCATCACTCTCTAGTGACAATATTAGAGAAGACAATCTGCAGGCTGTACCAGTCACTTTCCCATGTATCAAAAGAAGGCTTCTTCCACCTACATATTTCATAATTTACTGCCTTATTTATGCACAAATGCACAACCAGATAGCACAGGGGTTTTGGCAAAAACCTGCCAGGAAGAGGCTTAACTCCTCTTTGGGACTTTGGCCTTCTCTTCCCTGCTGGCACAGAATTACAGATATTGAGAGCAGGTATAAGGACATTCTGCTTCAGTTTATATCAATACAGACATTTAAGCCTATAAATAGTCTGGATACAATCAATCTATGTTGCTGGTTTTAAAGCACAAGTTTAAATTGGAGAAGATAATCTGTAGAGCAAGCACGACTTCATATTTTCAGTGAAAAATAAATGGAAGGTAAGAATAAAAAAGTAAAAAAGAAAATAATTCTCCTTTAAAACAATGAAAGTGCTGCACAACTTCCTTCAACCTGTTCCCAAAATTCTTTAAAAAAAACTTAAAGCAGAAACATTTCATCAATGGTCACAGATTTAAATTCTCAACGCTGCTTTTCCACCCCAGGTAGCAGAAATTTCCTCAAATTCAAGAATTCTTTATTATTCTTTTCTGAGTATCAGAATCATTATTTTGTAAATATACAGAATCATTTAAACTATACATGACCTACATAGTTTTGAGAATGAAAGAGTTTCAGTGGTGCATTCTCACAATATTGAGAGCAAATCTCACACAGCTGAATTTTGCTTGATTGTACAACCATGAGCACACATTTTCAGGAGGACACAGGAGGGTTACAATCTCATTATGCATTACTAGCAACCCAACCATATTTTTCAGTTTGTTTTGTTTAAAAGTGAAAAGCCCAAAAATGAAAACCCAGAGAAAACAACGTATTAAATTTAGAATTCAGTGCTAAAGCAGCACAGACTACCTGAAGTAAAAGATCTTACTCCAAGATAAAGTTCAGACAAGAAAAGTAGATTGGGAAATAGCATTATGTATTGTTTTTTCTGATGTGAGAGAAAGCTATATTTTTTCAGATTTTGGCATTCAAATGCAGATGCCAATAAGATTCAGCTCCAGGGTTACTGAAACTGTTTCACAGTACCAGGAGTCCCTGTGCTACTGATGGATAAAAATAGCTCTTATAATCACACTGGTCATCAAATGAAACCAGCACACAGAAGTTTTTAATATGATCCTGTAGAACAGAAATTCTAGATATAAGCAAGAGTAGCATGCAATAGAAAAGGTGAAGCAAAACTCAACATTGTAAAAATAAATCCAAGGTATCTGTTGGCAAAATTGCTTTGTATAAACCACCTGCTCTCATGACAGTACAAAATCATCAATATAAATGAGGATGCTAAAATTGTACTGGTCATGTATGTGAACTATAACAATGAAAGTGGTGATAAGCAAGAAATTTTAAATATAAAAGTAAATTTACTTGTTGATAACAGAAAACAGTGACCCTTGCATTCACTTGCCTTTGACATCACCCTGTAAATGACTGTCATAATCAAAGCACAGACCCAGTCACAGAAGGATTTCACACCAACTTTGTCCAGCATTTAAAGCAAGTATTTTGAATGGAGAGCAGTAGTGAATTAAACTTTAGCTTTTTAATATAAATGGGAAATCCGGCAGCCAAAACATATTCTGATGAGAATACATCAGAATTAAACTTCAACTACTTTTTAAAACAAAGACTTTTAGATGCTAATGGCCATTGTTTTCTCACTTAGTAAGTAAAAATTTGTGCCACAAAAGGTTAGATGATTGCAAAGATTTAATTGAATGTCTAAAAGAAAGGAAAATGTTTCTTAAAAATGCTAAGATGGACCTCTTACCTCATTCCTACAGTAAAATGTCCTGTAACAATAGAGATGTGATTTGCTGAAATTAAAATGCTATTATGGTGGAATTAGCGCTTCAATATTTTTAGCAGCTTAAATATGCCTTCCATTTTTAAAGGACATCTGATAACAGATAATTACATTTCATCTCATAGAAACGGAGTTGTTTTCATAAGGAAAAATACTTTTCTTTTTTCCCATGAAGGTTAAAACATAGCCATCATTAGTAGCAGCAATAGGATTTAGGTGCCTGCTTCAGCTTCGAGGATATATATTAGCATATAAATAACCATTGGTGGCTGCTTGATTCTACCTACTTTATGTTTTAAGGTGGGATCAGAATGCACTTAGCAAGAAACATAGGGGCCAGTGAGATATGTGCTCTGAGGAGTCCTGTGGTATGGTGGTTCCATAGAAAGGGTATATTTTCTTATTTAAAAAATCACCTGTTGTTATGTTACTGAGTTTTATGTTTACTATATAATTTAAATTCTCTAATTAATGGGTTCTACAGAGCAATAGGACACTGTTAGAAGAAGGTGCATTGGTTTATGCAGCAGTTCTTTCCTGAGAATATGAGAATATGTCAAGGTAGTGAGTTTTCTATATAATAAATACAATTGTTTATTTCGTATTTACCTGAAATGTATCCAAAATTATTTCTGCCTTTTTATTGATGGGAAAAAATAGAAAAGCAAGGTGTGGTTATTACCCTGAACATTACTTTCATGCAATACATTTCCTCATAGGAGGCAGGCAGGGAAGGAAAGCCACGAGCATTCCCTGTCCTCTGTTTCAGACTGACCTTCAAGATTTACTGCTTTAAAATGTTAATCATCATGAGTGACATTTCTTGTGTCACTGAGTGGATTGCAGCAGCAGAGGGAGAAACGTTCTTTTTAACAACTTTCCTCCTAGCCAAGGAGGAGTGACTGAAGGTGGAGCAGAGGTGAGCAGATGGCAAAAACACTTGATGCATTCTTATGAGGGAAGTGAGGAGGGCCTGCAGCAAAACAAACCTGCCTTGATGTGTGACTGTGGGAATCCAGGGCTTCCCTCTGGCTGCCCTGGCAGATCTGGGACCCTGGCAGGGGTCAGGAACCCCCTGGACAGAGCCCCCAGAGACACTGGCTGTGATCTCTGGCCATGGAAAAGAGTTTTCAATCTTACAGGCTGAATTACCAGCTCTGAGTGTTTGATATAGGTAATAATTAAGTGTGGCACGGGTGCTAAAGTAAAATTTTAGGATTCTAGATAAGGGGTCCAAAGGGGACAAGATGGAGGAAATTGGGTGTGTCTTGTCCTTTTTCTCCTTCTTCATGCCCTCCATGTTTCACTGTGGTGTTGGCATTTTTCTGTTGGTTTAGGCTGGGGACACACTGTCCAACGTAGGTGACAGATATTGGCACGTTATTGTAAATCCAGCACAGGTAGTTTGTGGTATTTAATGTTTGTACCATCCCACTGAGGGCAGAGCCCCACACGCTGCCCTGCAGGACAGAGCTGCGGCAGGGCAGCAGAACATGTTAGAGATAAACAGAATAAACAACCTTGAAACCAGCACAGATGAATTATGGCTTCTTCTTTGGCAGTGGGGCTGAAAGACAAAGACTTTTTACAATCTCAGAATCATCAATACCTCAGATTCCAACATATGACAGTGACGGATAAAGGGCCATGGATTCCATTGTTTCACAGAATTCACAGAATTCACAGAATCATTGGGTTAGAAGAGACCTTCCAGATCATCGAGTCCAACCCAGCCCCAGCACCTCAACTCAACCCTGGCACCCAGTGCCACATCCAGGCTTGTTTTAAACACACCCAGGAATGGTGACTCCACCAACTCCCCAGGCAGCCATTCCAGAAATTTGTCACTCCTTCCATGAAAAACCTTTTCCTCACATCCAACCTGGATTTCCCTGGGGCAGCTGAGCTGTGTCCTCTGGTTCTGTCAGCTCCTGGAGAAAGAGCCCAACCCCACCTGACCACCAGAGTGCTGAGGTCAGCCCTGAGTCTCCTTTTCTCCAGGCTGAGCACCCCCAGCTCCCTCAGCCGCTCCTCGCAGGGTTTGTGTTCCCAGCCCCTCTCCAGCCTCGTTGCCTCCTCTGGATGCTCTTGAGCATCTCAAGTTCCTTCCAAAACCGAGGGGCCAGAACTGGACATAGCCCTCCAGGATGATCTCCTGGTTCTCCTGGTTCTCCTCCCTGCACTGCAGCCCCCCCATGCCGGGCATCTCCAGACAACTGGCAGTAGGACAAGAGGACACAGTCTTAAGCTGAGCCAGGGGAGGTTTAAGTTGGAACTTAGGAAGAAGTTGTTCACAGAAAGAGTGATTGGGCATTGGAGCAGGCTGCCCAGGGAGGTGGTGGACTCCCTGTCCCTGTAGATGTCTAAAACCAGACTGGCTGTGGTGCTCAGGGCCATGGTTTACTTGTAAAGGTAGTGTTAGTTCACAGATTGGACTCAATCATCTCAAAGGTCTTTTCCAGCCCTGCTGATTCTGTGATTCGTGGTTCATACTCTTCTGGAGAAGCTACTGGAACACCTAAAATTCTGTTAGGGTGTGGCATTCAAATAACTGAACCAAACCATTCATGCGTATGTGTTTTGTTTTGAAAAAAGGAACTATACAAACACATCTTGCATGCATCCTGATACCTAACACATCAATCTCTCATGCTCCAAAAAGCTTTTTAAAATTAGAAAGTAGCCAATACTATAGACACTGCTTTCATAGATGCCACTTCTGAATATTCTGCCTGCCAATATAAGCCCTTTTAATCAAAGCTTAGAATCTTTGTTGCTCACCTACCTTCCTTCTTCATTTTGGCCTTCATTCATTCAACAGCAAAACAATTAGGTCCACAAGGGGCAAAGTAAAACATGATTTCTGGCACCACAAGTACCAATATTTGAAACGCCTGTTGAAGAAATACAATAAGAGATTTTTAGATTGGGCTGATTCAAATAGTTATTAAAAGTGTTAATGTTTAATTATAAACAAAACATTGGAAGAAATTAGATACCAGTCCCATCACTTTCGAAATTACCATCTCACTCTCAGTTAATCAAGTCAAAGAAAGGTCAAAGACCTCTATCTTCTAACAAACACGATTCTTGATTCATTACATTAGTCAGAAATTTTAGATTGCAAAACTCTGTTATAACCCTACTATCCTATCTGCATCATTATAATTTTTAAATATGTTATTTCATTTCCATGACCTTTGCATTATAGTTTATACTGAATGAAACAGGGACAACACCTTGCAAATGAAACAGGAATCCTAACCAGGCACTCTCTTCTTGATTAAAAGAGCTGCTGAAAAGAATTGTTTTGCAAATTAGTAAAGTCAACTTCCATGGCTTTTAAGTCACCAAACCAGAAAAAAAATATTTTTACAATAAAGGGAGAAAGGTGGAAAGACCCTATAATATATTACTTCTTAAAAGAGCAGCTTAACACCCCAATATTACAGGGGTTTAACAAACATACCAGAAATCTCTGCTAAACAACACAAGGCTTGTCTACTATAAATGCCAAAATGGTGATACATTTTTCTTCAAGAAGCTTTGTGAGCTCATTAATAGCTCATAAGTTCCCATGACATTGGAGACACCACTCTGCCTCCATATTTTGAGCCTGCATTAATAATAATAATAATAATAATAATAATAATAATAATAATAATAATAATAATAATAATAATAATAATATCGGTTTGAAATCAAGTCTACACAGGGTCAGATACTTTAACACTACTCTATAGAAAAAATACCTGATCTGCTTCTTCTTACTGGGAGGTGATTCAATTTTGTATTGCAAAAACAACCCAGAAACATATTTCACATTCTGTTGACTGACTGGATGGGAAATGTACTGCCAAGACAGACAAGTCTCCTGAGTGCAAAAACATCTGTAATCATAATTAAACAATAAAGTGCTGGCAGCATCTGTTTCCCCATATCCCTGCAGGGCTTATGTGTAGCACTGGAGGTGATCTCACTATACTGGCCAAAAGGGTTAATTACTGTACATTGAGAAGGAGAAAAAGTAACATTCTGAGGGGAAAGTATCACTGAGGAAATGTGCATTACTGGATCAATGGCCATTAACTGAAGAACAGATTCACAGCAGGCTGTTAATGATGAGACAAAGATTACAGCTAGATACATCATTCTGGTAAGGTCATCTGCTCAGAAGTAATAATAATGATGAGGCAGCACACACTGGAATGGATGTGTAAACAAAACACAAAGGGAAAGAAGAAAATGATGAAGATGGAAAAAAATTGTCTCAGCTGATACTTATTCATTCCACTAAGTATTTTAAGTCCTGTGAGTCAATGACAGCAGTGGGGGAGCTTCTTTCTAACCACACTTTTAGCAGATGAAGGATTCCCCCCCCCCTTCTCTTTAAAAACTGTCTCTCTAGAGGTCTGTTATGCAAAGCAGTCCATAAAACTTCAGGGGTTTTAAAGGGTCACGTTCACGGGGCCAGACACATGGATTCCATTATAACTGTTGAACTTATAAAAACGTGTCATTTTGAATTGCGAAGACGAAGTATAACACAGTGAGATATGTTTAGTTTCCTGATGCCTTAAGAATATTTTGTTCGCTGTATAGTTATCACACCCTTATTTCTGCAAGGCATGCTGCCTCTTGTACATGTCAGCTGAAACGACAGCAGCCCTGCTCAAAGATAGCTGATGAACCTCCTGCTGTGCTGGCAAACAGACACTCAACAAGACTTGACTTTCACTGCTAACAGGCATGGACAGCGAACTTTGCAAATGAAGCCTCAGACTGAGAGAATGTGTCCAAAAAGCCCAAAGGTTCAGTCTCTGAGCTGGAGTCTCTGCCCCTCAGCTTGGTCAAAGCAGCTCTCTCAGTTGGCCTTGTTCTTTCCGGGTCTTTTTAATCAAATTGTGGATTAAGGAAAGGTTTGAAATGGGAAAAGGCACATAACTGGACTATTGAAAGTCCAAAACAAAACATTCTGGAAAATCAACATAGTTTAATAGAAGAGTAATCTGATTTGCCCCTTAAAATAAAACAACAAATTTGCTTTAGTTTTGAAATATTATCATCATTTTGCATAAGAGCTTTTTCGGATAGACTTTGCAGTAACTGAAATAACTTTGTATGCTGAACTTTATTTCACTACAGTAACCCAGAATTTTCTAGTTAATTTAGCGAAATAATTACTTGGAATGCCAGCAGGGAGACAATCCAGGACTATTTCCCAGAAGAGGATGACAGAGATTGTGCGCTGATATCTGCATTACTTAAAATAATTGTAACCTGATGACTGACAAGATCTTCTCAAAACCAAAGAATACCCAAGAAGCTAAAGCATGGAAGTTCCTTTCAAATGCCAGCAGCCAATTCTATCCTTTGGGTATGCACTTGCTTGATGTTTATGATAATCAAAAAAAGCATTAATCTTTGGTGCTTTTGAACAGTCATGTTGTATAAGGAAGAACTTTCTCACCCCATTTCTAACGCCATGTAGTAAAAGACTTATTCAAAAAAAGCGAGCAGGAGAAAGCAGCACAGCATTCTTGATCCTTCAAGGAAGATCTCTGTCATGCTTTGCAGCTTTAAGGAAATCTGAGTATGTTCTTTAGTCAAAGCTATTCAATAATCAATGTATAAAAGCATGCTAGGATTTTTTGGTCAGCAATTATCTGAAATTGCTACCATTAAAAGGAAAAAATAATACCTCAGTAAGTGTTTGTGTCTTATAGATACCTTCAGAGCACAAAGTATAGAGAAATTTTACTAGAGTTTGCTATTTACCACAGTGTAAAGCAAGAGCAAGTCAGAGGAAGCCAGGGTAGATATCCAAGTGTAAACTGGTTTAGGTTTGGAAGTTAATAGAGCCATAGGAGAAGGGCAGAGGGAGAGCAGTGATGGTATCCTTCCTTTCAATAGAGTTTTACAGATTCATGAATGACAGTAGCCCTCCATACATTACTTTCATCTGGTTAATGAACTCCAAGCAAATTTGGCAGAAGACTGAAGATACAAAGCTCTTTCCAATTTCATTTTTTAAAAACCCTACCAAACAAAACCCAGGAAAAAAAAACAAACAAAAAAACCAAAAAACAAACAAAAAACTCACCAAAACCATGCCAAACCAACCAACAAAAATCCCCCCCAGACAAAACAGAAATGAGAAAAAACCTCTCCCAAAGAACTAACAGATAAATAGAGGGAAAACATTCAATTTATTGTCCTGTTGAAGTAAACTCTATGCTGTAAACTCAGTAACTGGCCATCCTTCAGCACACACATTGCCAAGACAGACTTCTCAAAATAAAGAATTTTGTAAAACACCACGGCACCCTCTATATTCTCCCAGACAAGTAACAAATCCAAGCTGATTTAAAAGTGAAAATCTTCATTTAGACTTATTATAATCACACCACAAAAAAGTGCAACTGAAAGAAACAAAGAACAAAGCAAACAATAAATTATGATCTCCAGGTTTTCATAAAAATGGGTTTTTTTAAAACATTAACAGACAGATGGGTTTTATTTCATTTTTCTGGCAAACCAATTAGTTTGCTTTTCTTTGGCATATCACTACAAAATATGGTGTGTTTGCTGATTGAGATATTAGGAAACAAACACAAGTTTAAAAAAATTTACAAAACAAACAAAACCAGAAATAAAGAGGAATGGTTTTTTGTTGGTTTTTTTTTTGTTTTTTTTTTTTTTTTTTTTTTTGCTATCCAGAATACTTGTTAGAATTCTGCCCTTAGGCTTAAATTCAATACTGAAAATGAAACAACATATTTTACGGTTCCAATTAGTGTCCATTTATACTTTGATGTGCTGGTTATGGGAGTCCTGAGAACAGAATATGTTGTAAAAGACATCAAAGTCAAATTTATCTGATGATTACATAACAAAATCTAAATGAAGAATGGTTCTTACTAGGAACACACTTCCTTTCTTACAGATGATTCATCAGGGGTTCACAGCTCTAATCCATGGGTAATTGATAGGGATTTATACCATTCTTCACCTTTTTTTCAGGCTGATAAAATCTATGCTTGGAAGAAAACAAACATTTCATCTGTCATAACAGGTAAAGCAGGAGTTTAAGGACACAGTTGCTTCACAAATTCTGGGATTTTAAAAGGAATTAATAGAGCTAATATATAGAATATATATAGAATATAGAATAGAATAGAGGTAATTATAGTCTAATTGCTTTTTTTAAATGCCAGATAGAGCCAATATGCAAAATACATGAGAATTTATAGACTTGTGATTGCTCTAACCAGTAAAATCCAGTCTAGTAACTACAAATTATAACTTGGTGAACAGGATACCTTGAGTTAGTTACACTCAGATGACACTATAAACTTCTGCATTTTGCCTATTTAAAATTGTGTTGTTTCAAAACCGTCAGATTCCTGAATTCCTCACTCAGACTCATTTGAACATGCTAAGCAAAAGGATTTCGCCTATTTTCTCAACGTGTTATGTGGCCTACAGTCATAGTTTTGTACAGCTTTGGGTCAAGAAGATTTTACCACTCTCCAGCTCAGTTTGCCTTCTAGCTGCTGTATCTCTAGGATTAATGATAAAGTCTCTTCTTTTGAGACAGACACCACACACAGAGTGTCACCACACAGTTTCAGAAGGCTTCAACCCAAACAGGATAACACTAGAAAATTCCAGAAGGCTTCAAGCATCCCCCCAAACAGAGTAACACCATAAAATTTCAGGAGGCTTCAAACATCCCCACAAACAGAGTAATGCCATAAAATTTCAGAAGGTTTCAAACATCTCCCCAAACAGAGTAACACCACACATCATCAGAAGGCTTCAGGCAGAGTAACTGAAGAACAAGAAGATGCTTGGAGCCTTCTGAAGTGGAATGGTGTTACTCTGCATGAAGCCTGAAGCCTTGGCATAGAAGCTATTCTAAAATACAGTTTGAAGATGCTTAAATCCAGAGTGAATGTATGCCCCCAGTG